GAAGAAATCTGTAGCTTTCAAAAGCTCCTCCAAAGATGAAAGTGACAGTGATGAAGAGGATGATGAAGAATTTATAGTGCTTGCTCAAAAGTTTAAGAGTTTCCTAAGGAAAGACAAGTTGTAGAATCAAGGACAACAAAAGAAAAATTATAAAAGCAGTAAAGGAAAGGGAGAAAACAGTAAAAAGGATGAAATTATCTACTACAAATGCAAGAAGACTGGACATATTAAATCTAAGTGTCTAAACAATGATGAAAAAAGTCTAAAAGCCAAAAAGAAAAATAGGGCAATGGTTGCCACATGGAGCTGCAGTGAGGACTCATCTTCTAGTAAAGAAGTAAGTGACATGGAAACTCATATTTGTCTCATGGCAAATGATGACACAGATGAGGTAAATTCCATTTCTTCTTCTATTTTTGATCATGCCAATGATGATGAAATGTCATATGAAGATTTGCAAGATGCATTTAGTGAATTATATGAGCATACTAAACAAATTAGTGCAAAAAAATGCATCTTTAAAAAGGGAAATTTTGTCACTTAAAAAAGAAAACAACGATTTGAAAGAATCTTTAAATCAGGAAATGATAATTAGTTGAAATATGGAAATTGACTTGGAAGAGTCAACAATTGCATTTAGAAATTGCAAACAAAAGTTGATTGAAGAGCATGATATGCTGGTAGATGAATTAAAAAGGAAAATAAGCCATCTTGAATGTTATCTGAATAGTTTTGTGAAAGGTAAAGGTATGTTAGATAACAATTTAAGTTCACAAAGATTTCCTCATAATAGAGCTGGACCTTCTTTTGAATTATCTAAGTCTTCCTCATCTAAATCTACTATTTTTATGAATTGTAATACTTTGCAATCTTATGACATAGTAGAAGCATCAAGTTCTACAGATAATCATGTTCATTATGGTATCATTTGTCATTATTATTTAAAAAGGGGACACTATATTCATCAGTGCTATATTAGAAAGAATTTCTTTAAGATGAATTTAGAGTGAGTTCCTAAGAAAATTTCTACTTGTTCGACTAACTTAAATGGACCCAAGAAAGTTTGGGTACCAAAATCTAGTGCTTAAGTTGTGTTTTCAAGGAAGCTTGAAGGAAAATTTGAAAAAAAATGTTTATTATGTAAAAGGTCTCAAGCATAATTTGATTTGTATAAGTCAACAATGTGATAGGAGACACAAAATTATTTTTGTGTCAAATGCATGCAAAATGTTAAACATTCATGATAATGAAGTTTTGGTTGTTGGTAAAAACAAGAGGAAATGTTCATCGTAGTCACTCAGATGCAATGCTTTGTGCTTACTTTGGTTTATAATGCTTATCATAATTTTAGTATTTTGTACTCTTACAATGTTTGACTTTTGTGTACTGCTTATTTGTATGTTTGAACCCTATGCTATGCTTTGTGCTAAGGTGCAAATTTATTTTTGCTAATGACAAAAAAGGGGAGAGAAACTTAAATGAAAACTATCCTTATTACTTGTTTGTGCAATTCCTGTTGAAACTTGGAAGCATATTTTGAGGGGGAGCTTACACTTATTATCTTTATTATTTTAAGGTATGGTTTTGTCATCATAAAAAAGGGGGAGATTGTTAGGTTCTTTTTGTATTTTGATGATAGTTTAAAACCATGATTTAAAAGAATTTAATCTATTTTTGTGCTAAGTGTGCAAGAAAGTTAATTCAAGGATTCTAATCTTTCCCCACAATTAGAATTGAATCATGTCCTCCTTGTTCAGAGTTCTAAATTCGATTCAATTATATTTGATTTGAACCAATTCTAAAGTTCTTTTTTCGAAAATGGTTCGAACTAATATTTTTGGTTTCAAAGCAAAAATTTTAAAAAGTTAAATTTTGACAGCTCAACTATTAATTTATTCTTAATGGGTCACAGGAGATCCAAATGCCTTAGCACTTTCCAAGACAAGTTAGAAGAAAAAGGTGGAACCTAATTGGGGCAATTGTGAGGTGGCTTTGAAGGGCTAAATGGGCTTTAATTGCAAGGCTCCCAACCAACTATTAAAAGAACATAAAAAATCAGATTTGTATGAATGAAAAAGAACGAACTACTCCAGTGATACAGAAAAACAGAGTTTGTTTTTGAAACTGTTATGGATCTTCTTCTTCTTCTTCTTTTTCTTGTGAGCTTTTGGGTTAATTGTCTTATAAGGGTTTTGCATTGTTCTTGGATTTGGATAATCCTTGAAGGAGTTGAGTGAGTTGAGATTCACTTGTGGAGGTTTAATTTTGCACCCGCAAGCAAAAGTTTGTTCCGATTTAATCTTGCACCCGTAAGCAAGAGATTTCCAGTAGATTGAACTCTCAAGCAAGGAGGCTTAAGGAATGGACGTACTCCGGATTGGAGGAACCACTATAAATCACGGTTTGATATTCTCTTCCATTTCTTTTTATTTTTCTGCACTTTATTTACAAGATTGCAGTTGATCTTTGTTTCATTTTACACAACATATTATACATATATATTGAAAACTTCATCCACATTTTTATAAAGAAAAAGAAATAAATTTTATATCTTAGGAATTGAGAACCAGCTAGTTGGGATTACACAATCCATTTACTTAGCTTTTTCTATACTCCTGACAAGATATAAGGAAAACCAATATACTTATTATTCTCAAAATTTGTTCTTGAGCTATTTAAACTAAATATCGAATTTGCATCGCTATTATTAATTCTTAATTTCTTAACCACCATAAAAACGTAAGACTTTCCCATGAAACTGTGGATAACAAAGAAGCCCTGACTTCCTTCTCTGGATTAAATAAAAGAAAAACCCTAAAACCCAGTAATCAAAAGGAAACAGAGATGCGAAACGTACGCAATGATGACATTGAGCTCGAGGGCTGGTGAAATTGGCGACGCAGGAATGGGTGATGTTAGCGGGCTTGTGCGCCATGACGACGTAGCTCCATATGCTCATTTTTTTCGGATCTCTGCCACAATTCTTGAGCTCAGAGAGCATTGGAACCTTCCGTAAACGCGCAGCAGTAGCAGGCGCACCGTGGAGAGGAAAATCGACGGACACTTATATGAGAATGGTTATCGATGGGCTGCCCGAACCTTCTTTAAGTGAACGTAACTTTTATCCATCTTGGTAGGGGAAAATCCATGGTCAGCTCACCACATTATCAATTATGAGAGTATCACTTTACAATATAAAAGTTTTAATCGCATCTTCCTAAGTTTTATTATTATTATTATTATTATAATACTAGTAGTAGCATTGTAATCTAACTAATCAGAATCTAATCGAATTAGATGCCAAAATAAGAATACTCTTTTCATGTTTATTTTTTTATTTATAACACTTAAGTTTAAGATTTTATTTAAAGAAAATGAGTCATTCTATTAGGAATAATAGGTAATTGATTTCCTTTTAGATTAAATGAAAACACCCAAAATAAATGACAACAGGTTACTCATTATCATATTAGCACTAACGTGACAATTCCTTGCCAGGGGCATAGTTTTTAGTTTTTGTTAAACTTAATAAATTTAGATCAATCTAAAAATTCAACCTAACTCATTTATTATAAGTAGGATCATAAGTTTAAACCTTTAAGATATTAATCTATAATTAGATATAATTCAAACCAAAATTATTCAAATCTAATTAAGTT